TTGCAGTTGTTCTTTATGTAATATTTATACTTGTACTCGTTATCTGGGCCTGTAATAATTTATAAACAAATAATTGGGGTGTTAGTGCAAATGAGGGAACGGGTACATTCTATTTTTGCATAAAGGGGTAGAAAACATGCTTATAGGGTCTACATGTTTTGTTTGCTATTTTGTTTGACATGCTCTATTTCTACTCACTAGTAAAAGTCATGTCTATAGGAATCACACACCTCACTTAAGTTGTCTAAGTACTTGTACACTATTCAAAGCATATTGGTTTGAGTAATTATTGTACCCGTTTCCATGCATACTGTTGTGCACTATTAGACAACATATTTATAGGAATCAAACGCCAATAACTACATGTTCAATTATTAGACAGCATGCCTATAGGATACAATAATACACGCCTTTGATAATACTCATCTAGATACCATGACTATAGGGTTTTAAATAATTAATCAACTGTTTTCTGTTACTTTTATACTGCCTTACTTAGATTACATGTATATAGGGATAAAGTGTTATAAAATCAAGTCTAATTGTCAATTGTTAGAAATCCTACCTATAGGATATTGTCGCTCGCATAAGAAACCGTTTACGAAATCAATGCTGCTAATTCTAGGCTCTCAAAGCTGTCTTACCGCCTTATTTTGTGAACAATTTAGATATGATGCCTATAGGATTGTAATACTTTTAATCTACAACTCTGTTAGCTTAAAGTTGTAATGCTGCTTGTACACTGCTGGAAATCAGAACCATCCAGAAATTATGCCTATAGGACTTAACGGCTATAATGTCTCTTAATTCTGAAACTGTCTACTGCCAAAATCTGCCCGTGCGCATTTCTTGCTTATGCGTGAGAGGCGAACTTGAGCCATTTGTTTCCTTTATGTGAAGTCCTATATGTTTTAAATGTGGGCCTAGTTTTATCATTTTGAGCATCCTAAGTAAAGTCTAGAACCACCCAACAGTAGGTCCAAAGCCTCCTAGGCCATAGTCTTGGGATGGGTAGTGCACGCATAGGGCGTGACCTAGAATTGAATTAGAGCGCCTTTAAGTAACAACTTTAATATAGTAATCGGGTAGCAGGAGATAATAGTCGGTGCCCGCTAAATAATATGAGCAACCCCTACCCTAAGGGAGTTGTGAAGTATTATTTATGTTGCATGGGGTGTTCCTTTAGGCTAAAAAACTTAGGTCCCTCCTTCCCTTTATATGCTTGTTGTTCACCCCTATTCGTCAAATATAGACCAACACAATTGTGTCCCTATAACCTCTAAGACTTGTACTGATTATTTATATAGTTTAATTCTTATGTTGTTTTCTTGACACTTGTTTGTATAGAACCTTCAACTTCCACATCTTTCTTCACTTATATGATCACTTAGCTTAATTATAATTCAATAATCCACATAGCGTAAAATTCGGTCGGGACCTACCGTTGTGGACCTCGAAGAGTGCCTAACACCTTCTCTTTGAGGTAATTTGAGCCTTACCCGATATTTACAAATAGGTGCCCTAACGCACCTTAAAAATTATTAGGTGGCGACTATTCCTTTTAATACCCGTTTAAAAGAGTTGTCACACGTCGAAACTCGCTTTCGCGAGAAAACGGGGCGCGACAACCCTAGTGTGTAAATTTTTTGGTTCATTAATATTATGTGTGTATGATTGAGTTAAATGTTATTTAGCCTTATTTTGCCTTTAAAGTTGGAATTAATAGCTGCAAACATTGATTCATGTCTTTTTTACCTTATTCTTACTTGAGAAAGAGGAATTAAGTCTATGAAAACTTGGCCAACAAGGAATTAAACTAGTTAATTGATTAGTTTAATTAATGGATTTGGACTAAAGATAGTGATAATCCATCTTAGGCTCATAATCCATTGCACTTATAGCTACCCATTTAGACTTGAGAAATCTAAATTGGGAATAATCACTTTTTAATCGAGATGTATTGAATGAGTACTTATATTTTGAGAGTCATAACAAGCCCGATCTAACAAGCAAGCACAATTGACTTTACCCATTAGGTTTACATAAATGTTAGGACTACAACTCTAGGCTTTTCTCCATTTGTTGAAACTTCTTAGCAATATTGCATATTAAGTGTTTATTGTTTTATTTCTTAGAATCATCCCAGTTCAATCAATAGATTCGATACACTTTTTTTGTTTGGAAGATAAATTAAGTTACATCAAGTTGCCTATCCTTAACTGTTTACCTTAACGCCCTTATAACTCCTTGAGGTTTGACCCCGGCTTTCACTGGATAATTTATATTGCTAACAACTGTTTCATAATACCTTTATTGGTGTGTGTCTTTGACGTGATCAATTTTTGACACCGTTGCCGGGGAGTTTATGGTGTTAGCTATATACTTGAGTTTTTTTCTTGAGTATCTTCTTTTACTTTCGTAATTCTAAATTGTTGAAGTGATTGTTGGTTTCCAATAGCGAACAACGAGATTGAAAATTTACCATTGGGAGAGGTGGATGGCGAGGAGGAACAACTTGATGAAGTACCCGATGTTCCACAACCAAACCGTCGAGGCTGTAGGCAATAAGATAAAGTGCCTCCACCTCCCCTACCTCCACCACCATAATAATCCCAAGCGGCAAATCACCGAAATTTGCCCAATGAAGGGTATACTAGTACTATAGTTCCCCATCGCATTAAAGCGGGCAACTTTCAAGTCACCAATGTGTTGCTCGCTTTGCTCAACTTACAAGGCTATTTCACTGGAGCGCCGCATCAAAATGGTTATAAGCATTTGAAAGAGTTTGTGGATGCGTGATTGGGAAGCAAATAAACTCATGTTTCGAAGATGCATTGAGGTTAAAGCTATTTCCCTTTTCACTGAGAGGGAATATCTTAGATTGGCTAGAACGCTTGCCCAATCGTTCTATTCATACATGGGATGAGTCAGCGGCAGAGTTTATTTCTAATTATTTTCCCTCGGACATATGGCAACTTTATAGGATGAAATATTGGCCTTCAAGCAAGAACCCAATGAATCATTGCATGAGATTTGGGAGCGATATCGTATTATGGTGAAGGAGTACCCCAACAATGATATGACCGACAACATGATCCAACAAATATTTTACTGTGGCATTAATACCACAAATCAATTTGTGGTCAATCAATTGGCCAGAGGCAATTTTATGACAACACCTTATGCGGAAGCATGTGGATATGATGAGATGGCAGAGACCTTTTCGGCTTGGCAATCCCGAGCCAATGTTCCTCTAGGTGATCCCAACATGAATTGGAAGACCATGGGCAAGCTATTGCGGAACTAACCACTACCATGACTCAACTTGCTAAGACTCAAATCTATTAAAATCAAGCTCCAAAACAAGTTCATGCCATGGAAGGAGTGGGTGTTTTGGCCAATAAAAAGCGGATAAAGGTCCCCAATTTCAACCCGAGTGAAGAGTTATGCACAAGAAGATAGTAGTTATGACCAAGATGACTCTTATCAAGAGCAAGAAGAGGAAGTTCAATTTGTGAACAACTATCAAGGGCAAATGGGTAATTCTCAAGGTTCTAATCAAAGTCAATGATGATCTCAAAACAACCAAAGCAATTGGGGTTCCAACAACCAAGGGAATTGGCATAACAACAATAACCAAGGGAATTGGGGCGGTAATAGTCAAGGCAATTGGGGGAACAACAACAATCATGCAAATTGGAGTTCAGGTTTTCAAAGACCTCCAATGTACCAACAACCAAGCAACCCACATCCCCACCTTTCCCATGGTTCAAGTTCTATAAGTAATGAAATGGGTTGTATTGAGCACGTGTTCAAGTAAATAATGGGAAAACATACGGATTCGGATGCTCAACTTGCATCTCATACCACATCGATTCGAAATTTTAAAGCTCAAATGGAGCAAATATCTCAAGCTCTTAATACTCGACCTAAGGGTGTACAAGTGACACGATAGTGAACCCGAAGGGTGGTAACAATACGGGACATGCCATGCGATTATCACAAGAAGTGAAAGAGGTGGGAGTGCACCCACCTCAGGTGAAAAAAGAATTGTAAATGACGACCAAATGATACAGGAGGAGGAAGTCCCCCAAAATGATGTTCAAATACAAGATGAAGTTCGGATTGAGATTGAGGATAATATGGTAGAGACTCAAGAGGAGGTGAACCCATCTAGGGAATATATCATTGACATGCCGAATCCAGTGGTGCAAGAGGTCAAAATATGAAAAGTCATCGAGAGTACAGTTGTGCCTTGTTATTGGAAGTCTTCTTTTAATGATATTAATAATTGCAATTTTCTTATTAACTCTTTTTATTTTCGTCTTTAAATAGTTGTGCACTTGTACTATGTAATTAGTAGTAGCTTGACGTCAAAATAAAGTACTCACAACCTTAAATTTTGGATACGCCACTGCCATTGTCAACCTGCCTAATTTACCAAATTTGCCAACTTTAAACAACTAGTCAAATAAAACTTACGTATAACACCAAAATGACATGAAAGTATATCATCAATCAATCAATCAACTATATGTTAAATTTTAGTGTTCAGTGAATTCATGTATAAAGTTGATAATTTTTTTTTCCAGCAAAAGAGATATACTCCTTCTATATCAATTTATGTGAAGGGATTCGAAGTACGAGGGTTAAAGTATCTAATTTTAGGTGTGAACCCAAGCATAAATTCAAGTTCTTTAAGAAATTTTGAATTTAAAAACTACATAAAAATACTACTATAAGTCAACATAATTAATAGTTCAAAATATTAAAAAGAGTTTGAGAAAATCATAGTCATGAAAAAATTATATTTAAAAATTATATGACTTCCCAAATAGTAGTAATGCCTTCACATAAAATGAGACGGACGGAGTAAATTAGTTCTGCTTTAAGTGGGTTTCATGACTTAACCATGACCTTGACCCTTAAGATCCGTGGCAGTTTATCTGTTTGGAATGCTATGTCTTTCAACAATGATAGTGGTATCCATGCTTCAGCAATGAAAACAGCAATGAAGTAAAACAGGATTGAACAGAAAGAACAATTTTACGACTTAGAAAGCAAACACTACGCCTGATGAGGATCTCGAAATGTAAGACACAAGAACGGTGTTTCAAGCCAACAGAGCCACACAGAAACTCAATATCAGCTTCACAATGCTTGAATAATAAAAGATGAATGAACTGCAGAAAACATGAAATGGGGTGAGCATCCATGTCAAATAGCATTCGATTTGTACATAATCCCGGCTTACAGAAACGTCATGCCTTGATTATTCCTGCAGAAAGGTAGAAAATAGATAGCAGTAAACAAAGCATGGAAAGAAAGAGAGGAATTCACTTAATCAATTTACAATAGTCCATCTATATAGTATAGTACCATAAAAGTCATTTTAAGCTATAACGAAAAGATCTGGTATTTTCTATTCTGAATCATGTTCAAAACATATTTTCAAGTAAAAGAACACAAAAAGAGTGATTATGAGGACTTTGCTGATACAAAGGGAACTGAAATCCTAATGCTACCAATTGGACATGAATATAGTGCTACTGTTGCGGAAGCCAAATGTATATAGTGTGAATAAGTCACAACTAGTATACCAAAAATTATGACAGCCACCAAATAATAAATAAGACAATAAAACAACAATAAAAGGAACACCAGAATTTACGAGGTTCGGCTAATTTTGCCTACTCCTC